GGTACAAGACCTTTTTAGATGGGTATCAGTGGGAAAGAAGATTCAATAGTATACAAAGAACAAGAAAATCCATTCCTGGCATCTGGAGACCACCACAGACGTACCCATCCACACATTTGCCAGATGCAGCACTCATTAAAAATGGGAACAAAAGGAGATGTTCAAAGATTTCACTTCCTCAATACTTTGGAGCACTAATGGTCTCGTGGTGGGACTGGAAGTTAATTTTTACTCCCAAGATACCTCATTTCTGAAGTATTTTGTGGTGCTGAGCCCCCCTGAGGTGCCTCCAGTAGAGGAAGGAAAGGGATTAGGCAGCTGTGCTGTGCCCTGGAGCAATGACAGCCACAGGGGTCAGGCACAGGGGTTGCTCACATGCTCAGGTAACAGCTCATTGCCAGTTTGGGGTCAGGAAGGGTCTCCCTTGGAGACTGGCACAAGTGCCAGGGAGCGTTTGCCTTCCTCTACAGCTCTAAACATCTCCCCTTGCCAGGCTCCTCAGGGCTGTTTCTGGCCAGGGATTCCCTGCTGTGGTAGGGCCAGGAGTCCAGCTGTGTGTGTGATCTCTCCACCTCTCTTCCCCATGGCAGCTTTGTTTTCCTAGCTTTCAGTCACTTGTACCATAGGTCTTCTAAGGCAATGTCCAACAGCTCTGCACTGAACAGGAGCTGCTGGTTTTTAACTGCTCCTGCATACAATAAAGTTTTCTTTTTATTGAATCTGGATTCTGTTGTCTGCAAACATTTGCTTATTTCTGCCCCAAGAACTTTGTCCTTCAGGAGCTTTTTCAGTTCCTGAGATAATTTTTGGACTCAGAACGATGTTACAGCTAATTGAAGAGCTCAGCACTTTCTTATTGAGACATCCTTCATGGATGTCTCTAAAGTGTACAGGTCAAGTAATTTCTTTTCTGCTCTGTTTAAGGACTGAGCTCAACATCTGGAAAACTTGCTTGTCTGCTCTGCAGAATGAAGGGTACCATGTGCCTGTTCCAGCCATTCACATCCAGCTCTGCAAGCTGGTTCCACATCCCCCAAGCAGGAACACAAGAGGAGGGGGCAGCTGGAGCCTCAGAGCATCTGGTGTTACCATCCATGCTTGCAGAGAAGAGCTGGCTCTGACTCTGGTCCCTGCTGTGGGAAAAAACAAGCCCTGATCCCAAACCATACCCTATCCACTACAGTCCTGCCAATTCTCCATACATGCAAAATATTGTCTTTAACACAAGGCCAGCAGGAGCCATGGAGCAGTCCCAGCAGCAGACCTGTTTTGGTCACACCCTACAAGCAAAGTGCAGCACAGATCCCACCACAGCCTCTCCAGCCCATCCCACACAGCATAGTCTGTCCCATGTCCTCTGGTCCCTAGACACAAGGACTCTGGTCCACCTGGTCCTGAATATCAGCAGGACCCAGAGCGTTCTTTCCCATCTACCTTCTCACCACACACAATGGCACCTAACAAGGACCCCATCCCTCAGCCCCATGATCACCTCTGTCTCCATCCCAGCCAGACACATACCCACCCTGACCCACCACACACCCCTGGCATGTCACCAGCCCTCATGCACCAGACTCAAGTCATGGTGTGCTCTTTCAAGGGCTGCCCATTTCTCTCACTTTTCTGGGGATTTGCTCTAGTTTGACTCCCACAGTGTTTAGTCGGAACTAAGCCATCACCCTCACCAGGTTCTTCCATACCTGTGCCAGTATTAGAAAGACTTTAGAGTGGTGACTCCACATCCCCCTGTGCTTGATGAGTACACCCAGACTGTCCTTCTCCATCGTATCCTGAAGGCCCACTCTTGTTTCACATTAGTGCCACCATGCACAGTCTCGTGCTCACTCCTCCTCCATCTGTGTTCAGTGGTGCAACTCCAGCCACCAGTGGTGCTTTCCACCTCCAACTCCTCAGCCAGTTTCAGCTGCTTTGTGGGCAAAGGACATTAATAAAAATATATAAGGTGGATCCCACAAGTCCTGCAGTTCACCAAGCAGCACACCTGCCTCTGCTCCAGTATCCTCCTGGTCCTAGTGATCCTGCCAGGGACCAGGCTTCAGCCCAGAGCTGTACCAGCACTCTCCCACAGCTTACCTCCTTCCCTCCCCAAAATCAGCCAGTCTCCACTGGTGTGGCAGAGCCTCAGTCCGTCTCCACAAAGTCTGTCAGAGCAGAAACCAGCACAGACCCCACAGTGAAGACACCACACTCCTCATGGTGCAGAGTGGTGGTGAAACAGTATTTGGGCTCCAGCTCTTGTCCAAGCACAGCCACACTACCAGTGTCCCACAGACTACAGGCATCTTCCTACCATCCTCACCACCCTGCAGAGATCAACTCCCCCAAAAACCACAGCAGCCACTGGCACAAAGTCCTACTGACACCCTGAGTTGCCTGCAGCTCCCCTCTCTGCACATCCTGGGGTCCATCCTCCACCTACTGCAACACCCTGGGTGCCACAGCCCATAATCTCAATGAGGAACCCCCATGTTTCCCAGCAAGGTCTGGCTCAGCAAAATCAAACTGCCCTGTCTCCAGGGCAAGCCAGATTCTGCTGCCAAAAAAAGCAGCTCTCTCCACAGGACACAGGACTCTGAGCACAGCCCAGGCATGGTTGGAGCACTGGGGAGCCCAAGGCTCTACCCCCACCCCGTGGACCATGCTGTGCACTCTGTGTTATCAACGCCACCCGCAGCAGCCTGCTCTGACCCCAGGGAGGGGCACAGGGCTTGCCTGCCAAGAGAAAAGGAGACAGTGGGAAGAGAATCAAGTCACACAGAAGACAGCGTGACAGGGGATGATGTTTTTAGGGCAGGGAGAGCTCGTATTTTTAAAATAATATGAGGATGAAAACAAATGGTCTCCATTCTGAAGTTACCATTTTTGTCAGAAATCACACTACAAAGGATGAAAAGAGAGTCCCACAACCCCTAGCTGTGGTTCCCAGACCAGCAGATCAGCCTTCCAGAATGGGGTGCCCAACTGGGGGATTGCCCCTGTGTTCATGTCACTGCTTCTTGTCCCTCCACCTCAAAGATGCTGCACACAGGACATGGTAACACTGTACAGACATGCAATGCACTGCTGCCCACCCTCTGCCCATGGAACAGATGAGCCAAAATCAAGGGGGCTGGCACACAGGAACCCCATCTTCTTGTCTCCCTGGTACCCCAACCTCCTCTTCACTCTCTAGCTTTTCACCCCATTCTTCCCCCTGTTGTATTGCATCCCCCTTGATAGCTCTCCAGCTAGCTTCCTCTTCCCTCTGCCCAACCCTCCCATTTCCACTTTCCTGCCATTTCCATACCCGTTCCAAATGATGACATCCTGCTGCCTGACTTCTGCTTCAGGGTCCCTCAGCTGCTGACACACGGTAACTCTGACATCCCCAGAGCAGCACTGGACCCCTCCCTCGCCTCCTGTTCTGTCCTCCACCTTGTTTGCCCAGCCCCCTCAGTATAGCCCTCCCTGCCAAAGCTTTATCTCTCCAGCCACTTCCTGGTGGGATCCAAGATTTGCTTTACGCCCACCTGGAGAAAGCAGCGGGTTCGGCTTTGCCGGGTGATTTCCTTTCAAACAGTCCCAAGAAGCAGAAGTCCCGCTGCAAAACGGCGGGAGCAGCGATGGGCTGCGCGGCCCCGTCTCAGCGCAGGGATGCGGGCAGGGACTGACGTGCCCTGGTGCACTTCACCTTGTCACCAGGAGTTTGTGTCAGCGGCCGCACAGACAGCTACAAAGCTGCCGTTTAATGCACCCCGCGGCTCCCGAAGAAGTGCAGCGGGAACGCCGTGTCAGAGCACCATCAAGGCAGGATTGTTTTCCTGGCTGCTGCTTCAGCAATTTACCGGCTCCAGGTTAAAGGCTCATTCGGCAGCACTATCACTGCCACCCCTCCACACACCTTTGTGAGCTAGACTGGAAATCATTAATCATGGGATTTGGCTCAGATCGTAAAGATCTGCCAATAAAAATCATAAATGTTGGAAATTCTCCCCGGATGAAGAGTGATCTATGCAAAAATCAAATCATTTCACAACACGAGAGACCTTTAATTCTCATTTGCTCCACCACAGGCAGCTAAGCCCCTGCTGTGCTGTCACTGCCAGGTCCCCATTGCACAAAAGCAATATGCATTCATTCCCCACAGGAGCTGGAGCAGGGCAGGAGTTTATCCCAGCAATGTTTTCCACGACTAACAGCTACAGTATAACACCACAGTCCAGCTCCATTCCTCACACTCAGATGTTCCCTCTCAAAGGAGACCATGCAGTTCGTGGAACCATAGAACGTCATGAGTTGGAAGAAACACACAGGATCATGGAATGGCTTGGGTTAAAAGGGACCTTAAAGCTCATACCTTTCCACAGCCCTTGCCATGGGCAGAGACACCTTCCCCTGTCCCAGGCTGCTCCAAGCCCTGTCCAGCCTGGCCTTGGGCACTGCCAGGGATCCAGGGGCAGCCACAGCTTCTCTGAGCAACCTCTGCCATTGCCTCACCATCCTCATAGTGAAGAATTTCTTCCTAATGTTTAATCTTATCTACCTTTCTTCAGCTCAAAGACATTCACCCCTCTGCAGGAAAGATCCCTGGTCAGGGGGAAACAAACTTTGAGAACGCGCTGGCGGGAGGACATGACACAGGGACCTAAACGCCGTTCAGGACAAACGCAGCTTTTCTCCGTGACCCATTTTTATGCCGCTTTGATTTCCTGGGCATTTGCTGCATCTCAGAAGAGATGCGGAGACATGCGGAGCTCTCGCACCGCCTGCCCCGGCCCCGCCGGCAGCTCCGGCTGTAGAGGAGCCCCCGGGCCCGCCGCGCGCCCCGGTGCCCCCGATACCCCAGATACCCCCGGTGCCCCCGCCCCTGGGGGTAGCAGCGACCCCCCGACCGCTTCCCCCGGCGCAAGGTGCGGTGCGGCCCTGGGCAGCGACCCTGCACGGGGAGCTCCCCTCGCTTCACACCTGCCCGGGACGGGCGCCCGGCGCCCCGCGCTTACCTGGGCAGCAGCGGCGGAGCCGGCGCGGCGGGAGGAGCTGGGCGGGGCCGGTCCCGGGGCGGGGCCGGGG